ATAGGTAAGTTAATAAAATACTTCTAACATATGTAGCTTTCAATATGTATATATGTTTCAAAATCCAAAGTTTGTGTGCCATTGACTTCCTAATTTTGACATTTTCATGCATTAATCCTAAGATTATAGTTACGTGGTCTACATTAGGTACTTGGTAGGTTTAGACAAGTTCTTGTACTAGGTACGTAGGTTCGATCAACGTCCCCTACTACAGGTCCACCCAGCTTAGAATAAAATTAGCCCCTTTAGTTTCACTAATACTAAGATAGCCCCTTTTAGTTTCACTTTTAATAAAATAAAATTATCCTAATATTAAGATAACCCCTATAATTTAAAAGGATGTCAAACTAATTTTATCCCTAAAATTAATTAACATAACCCCGAATCAACTGACTCAGATCTCAGACTGTACATTGTATACGCAGGCATGACTTCATCAATCTGAATGTGTCAGATTTAAATACTAGACAGAGATTCAATGAATAATGACTTTACTCTGGCTACCTGTTCATCCAACTGTAGCGATGTGATGTTCATCTATATATATTATTTTGGTGGGCGACTGTGCAAATATTTAAACAAGAATAAATTAAAAAGATTAGAATATACGTTGGCAACTAATCAAAGCTAAATTACTTTGGGAGAACGTGGGTGTTTGCTTAGATCTTTGTTTATTTATACTTTTACATCTCACACCACGTACGTTTTCTCTCTTTTTGAGTTTTGTATGATAAAGTTTGGAGACGATGAGAGATTGTGTGGATACCATGTCTGATGATTTTCAGATGATTGCACTATAGCATAGGCACTTGGTGTTAGTGGCTGGCAAGCATTCTATTGCATGTCTGAGTGAAAAAAAAGAGAGTAATTTTTTTACATTTCGTTTGGATGAGGAAAAATAACTCGAAATTTAACTAAAAATTGAGAATTTAAGAAGAGAATTTGACAATTCTCTTGTTTGGCAATTTAAGCGTGAAAATTGAGGCATTAAATTTTCGAGTTTAATTTTCACCAAAATAAGCGTTATTTCACAATTTTCATAATATCATTTATAAAATTCGACATATATAAATACAAATACTGAAATCTTCAATTGCTAGAAATTGAAATGATAGAAATCTGTAAGGAAAATTAAATATAGACAATTCCGACTGTTGAAATTGCACTTTTCTTATACTAATAACATCCTTAACATAGAAGAAAAATTCATGTTATATGTATACATTATATATTGAGTCTTTGTAGCAACACAAATCATATGGATTAAGTCCCCCTTTTTTTATTTATTGCTTCTTTTAAAGGGAATGTCCAATATTCCACATGTAGGAACCATACTGCCCATCACAATGATTTATGATGTCCTTAAGAGGGGTGGGGCAAACATATTGACAAACATTCATGGCCGTGTTTCACCAGAAATAGACATAAGGGCCATATAACTGGTGGTGGATGGGGAGATGGTTCAATATTGGGGATACAAACTTTATGAGGTCTGGCAGAAATTCTGATTATCATAATTAATCACCCAACAACAACACAGCGGTTAGGGAAGGTTAAAGGGGTAGGAGGAGGTTTAAATTGATGAGTTATTCACACTGACACTTCTTGAGATTTTTAGCTTTTTCACAAAACCCTTTGAGGTTTCAAAAATTACACAAACTCTCCCTAAAGTTTCAAATTGCTTTAACAAAATCCTGTTTGTTGATTGTTCGTCCAAAAATAAATGATTTCATAAATAAATAAATAAACCTTATGCAAATGAAAAATTTAACCTAAGCGAATGTGTTCTCTAGAAAAAAGAGGTCAATGAATGTGTGTGTAATTTAATCTCAAAGGCTGACTTTGTCATTCATATACCTTTTCTTATATTTAAAATCAACAATCTTTGGATGAAAAAACAATGCAAAGAGGTATTGTGAAAACAATTTGAAACCTCAAGGAGTGTTTGTGTAATTTCAAAAACCTCGAGAGGTTTTGTGAAAAAACCGAAAACCTCAGGAGGAGTTAGTGTAAATAACTCTAAATTGATCAACACGTCATTTTATGATCAATAGTTGGAATTAATGGCCCCATATTATTTTCTGCCGAAGGACTTGCTCCAATCCTTTGCGTAATTTGTTCCTTTTATATTAAATTAATGGCCCCATATGATTTATGATTGTGTATAAATCACGTAAATGCACATTACATTAATTAGAAGGCCAACTTCCCATAAACATAAAAAATTTATAAAATAAAATTAGAGGGTCAATCAATCACACAAATCAGTTACACAAACGTTTGACCCCGACCAATTGGAATTGCTTATCCCTTTTCTATGACAAAAAAAGTACTCACAAAATGTTTGTTTGTTTTATGTTGAAACTAAGATTGAGCAAAGAAAAAAAAATTATCAATGTGTCGTTATCTTTAATCTCTTGATTGTGGTCAAATCTATTTGTTTATAAGGTTTTGAATTTATGAGAGTGGAGTGTTGAGGAATGTAACGCATAGACAAGTCAATATCATCGCATTATCATATTGGATTCTGCACTATAGTGAGGCAATATTACTCTAGTATGTATTAGGGATAGACGACTTATCCATTCAGTGGATTCAAATCCAAACATAACACTTATGGGTAGATACGAAATGTTATTAATTGATTATGTTTAATGAATAGATCCGATCGCAACCGCGAATATGAAATTCTATGTTATATAGACTTGTATGTAACGATCGAGGGTGAAATATTGTATATAACACAATTATTTGACACTTTATATGCACACTATTGAAAACATAACTATGATGTAATAATGCCATATGGGAGACGGTTTAGTATTGTCTATACGTATATCCGTACGTGTGTGCTTAGGTGTAAAGAAAACAAAAGAAACTTTTTGTATATTCATTTGCACATGCACAACCAACTTGGTTTTTGCAGCAACTTGAAGTTTATTATGTTTGTGAAGACAAATCAGAATATCAATATCAGTGTAAAACAAAAAGAATTACCATTAAAAAAGTGTTATGAGTAGGGTTTTCAGGTAGTGCTTATGTGGCACCCAACTCATCACTTCACTGGTCCTTTTCTTCTCCAACACCTAACGTCCCTTCCATTATTCTACACTTTCATGATGGAGGTTTGAAAGTAACACACATGGAGAGTGGTTGAGAACAAACAAAATATATATAACTCCAACCGGTGCACGTGAAAGATTTTACTGTGGAGTTACCTTCATACAATTAGCAGATTTGTTTTACTGTAATTGTTTTGTTGGGTGGCCAGAACCAAATTTAAGCAAATAATCAAATTTCCATTTGGCTGCATATTGACCCGAAAAAATGTTAATTGGGTAACTCGGCCGGCCCAAATTCTCTATGTTATTTCCTGGCCTCAACTGCAGAACTAGATGGGCTTAAGAATTTAGAATGGGTTGGGTTGGGATCATATTGTTATTTGAAACTTAAAGAGGTAGAGAGCCTGACCCGAATAAAGGTTTGTCGTACTTGAGGCGAAGCATAAAAGAACGGTGGTTTTTTTTCTTTTCTTTTTATTAAGAATGGAGATTCGAGCTTAGAACGCTATCACCATCTATCATTTTTACGTTGTTTGTATACATTAAGGATGTTTGTGTTTGGAATTATTGACTAGTTGATATAAAATGTTAGGACTCAAGATCCTACATTGGATAAATAGCATATCGTAGAGAAGGCACATGCTTAAAAAGGGCATTTGGTAATGCGTTATGCATGTATTTGTTGTGGGTGATTATATGATATGGGCACTCATTTGTGATTTGAAGTTGAAACCCAAATACCAGACCTGTAATGTCATAAAAATCTTGGGCTAGGCCTTAGGAAGGCTCACTTCTCTCCAATCAAATCATAAAAACTGACACAAGCAGGCCCATATATAGCCAAGAATACATAAGAGCCCATAAGGTCAATCAATGAACAAGAACTCTGATTGGGCCTGCAGATCATAAAATAAAAAAATTAATTAAAAAATTTCATGTAAAGAAACCTACCGACTGTATGAGAAACAGGTCGACTATAGGGCGGCGAAAGTGGTGGCACCGCACAGAGCATCCGATTTTTCTTATTTTTCTTTAGATACAAACAATATGGGGGAGAGAAATTCAAATATATGACTTTTGGTCCAAATGTGTAACCATTTGAGTATTTGTTTGTTTGTCAAAGTTAAAAAGCGGAGGGAGAAATTCACACCCTCGAATATTATGAAGATTTGAATCCATAACTACTTGGAAGCATATTAAAGGCCTGAGCCAATCCAAAAGCGCCTCATTAATGATGGTGTAACCATTTAAATTACAAAACTCTTTTAAATGTCCTTGTTCTTATAAAAATCTAAAACCAACGTTCGACTGTAAATTTAAAATATAAATAAATTAGTAACACCATCAATTGTAATCACGTAAAATAATACCACTAGGCATTATCACGTACAATAGTATCTCCATGTGAGGCCCATGATGTGATCACAGGTGCATGTCCGTTAAGAATTTCTCCATATCGCCAGCGCCAAAGTATTAAAAAAACAAAAAAGGGTCAGAGGCGCGGAGGTACCAACCGAGGGCCACACAAGCAATTCCTTACAAAAGACAAGGGTAATCCCGTACTTACACTTGCGAGATATTTTCCAAGCAGTAAAATATCTCAGCGGGGACAATCATGTGATCAGTGGAACCCACCCATAACCCGTCCCAGTCATTTTTTTATTATTTATTATTTTATCGTTTTCAACCAGAGTCCGTAACGCACCGAATGCCACGGCTCTATCCTCTCCCTGTTTGGAAACGAGGATAAATAACTCCGAAACAAACAAATCACACAGCGAAAAACATACCAAACACGATGACGTGTCCAGATAATGATTTCAAAAGCGGGATAGAGATATTTTAATCCCGTAACCAAACATCATGGGTTTGGATTGAACCCGAGAAACCAAACAAGCTAACCCTAGTTGAGGGCGAAGGGGCTCTATATAACGAGGCTTTGGGCATAGCTGTCCTTCGTGCTCTCTTGTTCTCTTCTTCCTTTACAAAAATTCCAGTTCTCTTTTCTCCGGTTACTTTTTAGCAATGGCCTCAGCCGAGATCGAGTTCCGTTGCTTCGTCGGAGGGCTCGCCTGGGCCACCGACAATGATGCGCTGGAGAGGGCCTTTTCTCCGTTCGGTGAGATCATCGAATCGAAGGTCCGTTTGACGCAGAGATCGGATCTGACCCGATTCGGCCTCGCGGCCATCTGTTGTTCTCTCTCTGCTACTTGATCTTCTGTTTCTCTATGTTACTTGATCTATGATTCTCTGTTACTATATGATTCTTATTATTACTCACTCTCAAGATCGGGTACGTTCATCTTCATCTTTCTCTCCCAAAGATTGAAGATCGATCGGTTCCTTTTCAATTTCGCTTATTTTGTGTATTTGTTATGATTGTATGGACGGATCTAATTCGATTTGGTTCGTTTTTGTGTTTTCAGATCATCAACGACCGTGAGACCGGGAGGTCCAGGGGCTTCGGCTTCGTCACCTTCAGCAACGAGAAGGCCATGAGGGACGCGATCGAAGGCATGAACGGCCAGAACCTCGACGGCCGCAACATCACCGTCAACGAGGCTCAGTCTCGTGGCAGCGGCGGGGGTGGGGGGGGGAACGGGGGGGGGGCCCCCCCGGCGGGGGG